GGCACAGACATATCCTTAAATTTGTATCATCTGCTTTCACGATACGTCCCTCGACGTAGCTTTTTTTTTTTTTTTTTTTTTTTTTTTTTAATGTTTTTTCAGCTGAGGGAGCGAAGCCTGTTACTCTAGTGACGATCAAAAAGTTCCGTGTCTGTGTGTGTATGACGATAACTCGATTGAACGGATTGAACTAGCTACCCGAAATTTACAGGGTCGTTTTGTTTCATAAAACGACAAATCAAGTTCAAAGATCAGCATTCTAGCTCAAAAATTGTATCGTGAGATATCGCGAAGCCTGTTACGCGAGGCGTGATCTGGCGTACATCTTCCTCGTACGTATTACAAACCACGTTATTGTTTTAATTGAAGTATTTGACCGTGTATTTGAACAGTTTTGGTCTCACAGCTCGCACTCTGGACTTCGTTTCGGAAGGGATTAGGTGTGAATAATTCCCCATGTGCTGGCTGCATCCCGTTCGGGGTGGGGGAGACGAGGGGAGGGGAGGACACTCGCTCATTCAAGATGTACAGCGCGAGAGCTGCAAAGCCGCAAAAGGCTCTTGAAAATTTTACTGAAATTCCCAGCGGGGACGTCCTGCCAGCGCTTTTGCCCTGGCCTCTTATCGGCCGGCTGACCATAGGAGGTGTGTGTGTATGTGTGTGTGTGTGTGTGTGTGTGTGTATGTGTGTGTGTGTGTCTAGAAGAGGAACTCTCGGGAACTCACGCCAAGTTAAGAAAGAATCGGAGAGGGGAAAGGGTTTGTGGTAAGGGGACTGAAGGGGGAGGAGGTAACCGGCAGCAAACTTTCCATGCGGGACTCCACTACAACACCACTCGAGTCCATTCCGTTGGTTTGAGGCCGACCCTGGTGCTCGCCTCCGGCCGTCCTGGTCCAGTTAGTCCCGGAGGGGTAGCCGCCGCCCCTCACCTGCGGCGGCACCTCGGCACACAGCAGGTGTGGCTAGTGCTGCTGGTGCTCACCCACTCCCCGCCGCGGCCCCAAGATGGAAATCCGCAACTTGCCAGGGACCGTTCGCAAAAGTTACGTCATTTCAGAGGGTGCCCCGGGCATTTTTTTCACGCGCGGTCAACCCTTGAAGCACATATCGTTCTTAGAACGTTTACGGAACCTTTAGAGAACCAAAAGAACGTTCTCAGCACGTTGTCTGAATGTTTGGTGCTACAAGGGAATGTCGACAGCATTAAGTGCTGTCTGATAAAGTTCACATTACTGCAAATTTTACCCACGGTGATACACGTTTATTACGGTCCTCGAAACACTTCATTCTTCTCCAACAAGTTGATGAGCGCCACGTGGAAAAAAAATCACAGCCCAGAAAATTGACACAGCTTGTGTACGACCCCCTCTCGGTTCTCAAGGCCGCGCCGCTGCCGGACGCGCGTCGCCGTGAATATCAAAGCTCTGGAGAGGAAGGAACTCTTTGTCATGCGTGATACGGCGGTGGGGTGGGGCTGCCCATAGCCTTCATAGGTACCCGAGTGGCCTTGCGCGCGTGGCTTTTGATAGTGCGCCCGGCAGATGGCGGGGTCCAGGGAGGGGAGGGGTGCAAGAGGAAGGGGCAGAGGATGGGTCCGTTGGCCACTCGCCATAAGACAATGACCCCTGCGCCGGCGGCGGCCGCTGCTACCACCAGTATGCAACATTTTTGATGAAAGAGAAATGCGGAGGGCCCGCCCCTCCTCTATATCTTTTACTATCCCTTTTGCCCCCACCGCAGGATGGTGGCCGTTCTGAGGGTCCGCCGGGGTCGGCCGAACCGACGCCCTCTGGACCTCAGCGGGCTGCTTGGCAGTGAGGGTGCACCGCTCGAATAAGTGCGTTAGGGAGTCGCGACAAGACTTTTGTTTTTATTTTCCTCGGCAATTGAAGTTTAAGGTTGCAAAGTGTGCAAATTATGGTTTCTAGATGATACGCGTCAACAGGTGTGCTGACTTTTGACATTTCAGAAACGCTCCGCAGCTGCTCTTAATTTTGGATCCCACTTATACCTTAGGCCCGTGCTGTGACTCTGTTCACGTGTAAAAATATAATATGTTCATGAAACGTTTGAATTTTTCACATTAATGCGGAAGTGTGCAAAGGGCGAAGTCAGTTATAAACCATCCGACACCATCTATATAGATTATTATCATAATTGACACATGTACGTATAAGTGTGGAAACTTAGCTGATTTCGTTTTTCGTTTTTTCGAAAGAGAAGGGCGTTGTTTCTTGCCATTCAAGGAAGGCGTGGACTAGGGCGATGAACCAGGAACATCGACATGTCTGTCTCCCACTCGCTCCCACCCCCGCGTCGCATTGTCAATCCAAGAGCCAAAAGCAGCCAAAGCCAAAGCCATGGACGCGCAAGACGCGTCGTCCTCTTCACGTTCCACACACTGCAAGGCCGACGAGAGAGAGAGAGAGAGAGAGAGAGAGAGAGAGAGAGAGAGAGAGAGAGAG